GCGAAGAACTCGGCGAAAATCGTTCTATCAGCACGTTGGATTTCAATTCTTAGTCTCTTTGGAGATACTATACGGATGGTTAGAAAAATAACAGTTGGTAGGCAAGAGGTCTACTGTGAAATGTTCGGGCACAGTATTGTAGATCAACTCGTTCAACTTGTGCACGATTGGAAGCGAGATGAGGGCTGCGCAACTGTGGGGAGAAGAGTCGGCGGCATCCACTTACCGACTTCTTTGGGCTTCTCGCACTCACCTATATATTTATGAACCGTTGCTTAATTCAAAAACGGTCTGTTAAATTGGTCAACACTTCCATGCAGATTTGGATTGATCAAAACCCTCAGTTAATCTTAGTCATTCTCCGATGTCCGATCACAACCCTAACCTTTTTCGGAGGTTCCACCAATAAACTCTGGCTCCATTGCATTTAACCGAGTAAATGCGAGAAAGACATTCGAATGATATCCGCGGCGGTTTTTTGTGGACCTGGGACCAAATGCTCAGTTGATATTGCGATTTGCCTCCGCACATTTCTGACCCCATTTGGAAGGAAACAAGGAACTCGCGCAAAATGCGAACTCGCCTGCTGAGTATGTTGTATTCGAGACTTTAAAAAGGGAAAAAAATGTTTCATTTGAAACTTTACAATATTTTTGAATGAAGCGAGAAACACGCTCTCTGAATTCGAAGTTGGTAGCTGTTTCTTGAAGTTATTCAGAAATAAATCATTCAATTGAGCTACTGAAGCGACAGAGTTTCCGAACAACCCAAAACACATTATTCCACAATAATCCGCTTTACATTCAAAAACCAGAGTGACGAATTGCAGGTATCTGGTGTAGACTTACTATTCTATTTGTGGTCCCAGTAAATAGGGTTTAGACATACTGACTGACATTACAAATTTAAAATTTCCTGAACTTTGGTGCACAATATGTACTTTCTGTCTACTTGGACTGCCTTCGGGAGATAAAAACATAAAATATGTGACAGTGATCCGTCTCCGTTTTTGATGAGCTACTTCCACTCAAAATCACAATGACGCTTGTTTGACCTGTACAATGACATACCGCCAATGCACAGGCAACTTTTTGTTTTCACAACTCGTGCCAAATGGCGACAACCTGGGGTCGGAAGGCTCTGCTGATTGAGGCTGAGTCATTTTAGGATTTACCCCACAATGTGTGGTTGATATGTGGGCCACAGTGTTTCAATCAAGGTCTGTTGCAGGGTACTATATTTGTATACCACACTGGTCCCCCGGCTACCGCCGGTGCCATCCCTCCCTGCGTATTCTTTGCACCTTTCACTGTGTTCCCTTCTAGTGACGCCAACCCCTCCAGAGGGGATGTTTATGGAAAAAAGAAGTGTTTTACACAGTATACGACATTGCCATCTTTGATTGACGTCAAGATGACCTTAATTGGACCTTAGCCCTATTGTCAGGTAGCTTCTTCCTCCCTCCTCATCCTCCCCTCCTCCTTTCGCTGCCCTCCATCCGCCAAGCACCATGTGGAATGAACGAGAAGTGTGCTAAGCAGGTGTTTATATAGCCGTTGGAGTGTTATCACAACTATCCTGCTACAAAACATTGATATCTCAAATCCTGTAAGCTACCCGATTTGTTAGCGGTTTGTTTATCCCATGAGCTTCCTTATCACTTCATTTTGCGGACGGACAGACGGACACCACACCAACTTAGGCCGCGTTCATAGTTCGCGACTCCGGAGATTAGGATAGTACGCGACAATGAAAGGATAGTAGTAGAGTAGGAGATTGCGCTGACAAGATTAGATACGTATCGATTGAAATCGCTGGAGAGTAGTAGATTGCGATATTACGATAGTAGGATAGTAGTAGAGTAGGAGATTAGGATAGTAGTAGATTAGGATAGTGCGCTGACAAGATTAGATATGTATTGATCTATTCGCTTGAAGTCGCCCAATCTACTACTCTCCAGCGATTTCAATCGATACGTATCCAATCTTGTCAGCGCAATCTCCTACTCTACTACTATCCTAATATCCTGTCGCCTACTATCCTAATCTCCCGAGTCGCGAACTATGAACGCGGCTTAAGCGGTTTATATAACAGAAGGATTAATTGGATGTATTGTCTTGAACTCGCAAACCCGCAGATCGTACGTGGGCATGTAAAACTGATGAGGTTTTGTGGCCAGCTATACTACTCATTAAATCTATGTACTCGCACTCTTGGAGTTCTATGGCAATAACCTACAACAATATCGAGATGCAAAGGGACTGTGGCGCTCTTATACGACTTACATTCAACGCCTGTTATTTCAGTGTAAAGATTAAGAATAGTGAAGAATGAGTGTCTAAGAAAGTCATAGTACTTCCAAAGATAATGAGAGCCTCCCCACTTTCGCTCCTGTTATTTGGAGTTGTTGCTACACAACAAGAATGCGAGTCAACTTTGAAACTTGCATCTTACTTGATTTGTACTTGTGTATTCGTCCGATTACTCCAGACGCCGTGATGATATTCGGATCAGGCAGGAGCTTGGAAAAATACTGGGTGTTATTTGTTTTCTGCATTCCTGAAGTGAAGTTTTAGGACCTTTTTTCACGCCCGATACAATGCAATGTTACCGCTGACCATGATCTGAGATAAGGACGAGGTTAATACATGCCAGAAGACCTTCCGCATCGAGTCGCTCGATCAGGTATCGCAGACGAATCATCCAACTGGCTCATTTGATGCCGTGATGCTAAACATAAGCACAATCAGGTGGAATCTCAGAAGAAGTCATCCAACTGACTTACATCTCGCTCATCTAACTGATAGTGTCCCGCACTATCAGGCTGGTCGAGATAAGCTGTGATAAGCCCGGGACGACTGTCTTTCGGTAACAATAACCAATCTAGAACCTGAAGTGCTCGGCAATCACCATTCAGATACCTACTTATCAGGGAACATACCAAGCTGCGTTTCAGCTTGTTATTTTCTTGTCCCATGTTGGATACGTGCTCTCCTGCTTTATTCATTACAAAAACACTTCCAAAATGAACATTCGAGTGGCAAGAAGGTCAATTCTTCAGCAGAAAAGATTGGTTTCTTTGATAGCGTACGATGGTCTCTTGAATCATTCTTTGGATATTCCTCAGTTCACTGCATGGTTTTATCCTCACCGGATTCGCCAAGCGGTGAGGGATTTTTGAATGCAGGGGAGCCGAAATCGGTGAAATTCCTTCCATTTCAGTGGGTGTGAATGAGAACATGCGAGTCGCTGCGCCAGCATAAGCCAGAGCACAACGCGCGCGGCGTTGTCTTCGTTGTGTCGAGCAGAGAGCGCCGCGTGTGCGATGCCACTTGCCGGGTATCAGACAGGAGACCCTCGCGCGGCATGAAGGCAGAGACGCAGACGGGTCAGCGGACGAGTCGCAGCGCGTACTGTAGTGATTTCGCGTCAAGTTAATAGAATGTACTAAGTACGTCCCACATGCACAGCACGCGCTGCGACTCGTCCGCTGACCCGTCTGCGTCTCTGCCTTCTTGCCGCGCGACGGGCCTCCTGTCAAGTACACGACGTCCCAACCGTCGCTTCTCAGCAACCCTCTTGCCCTGACCAATTTACCATTTAGAAAGTTTAGGTCTTCAGACCTTTAGAAACAGGTTTCAACTAGCACGTGCGGACCTTCTGTTGTACATGTGGTGCTTCCTTCGTGACCAGGAGGCCTAGTCCTTCATCCTCTTTTTCATTCTGAGGTCACCTCTCTAGCTAGCACCTCTATATTTCATTTTTTCAAGTATAGCGTACCATGTCAAATCGATTCCGGAAAGGTAAATCCTTGTTGTACGGTGGCGAGATATCTGGTCGTAACCCTGTAAAAATTGAAAACCCTTTGAAGAACGGGGAAATAGGCGTGAAAGGAGTACCTGAGATGTTGAAGGCGCAGCCTGGCCAGAAAAGACAAGCCGTTCTACCGCCATGTCGTTTGTAAATGTTCCAAATCTGCGGAGAACTCAAATTCAGGACGGTGGCTACGAAATGCGATCAAATTTGAAAGCTAACCTGCAAAACGAAGTTCTCTTACCGGGTCGCCTTTGTAGAATCCCTCTCGTTCTGTTCTTTTCATGCTCTCCAATTCATCTGATAGCTGCGAATCGTAAACGTTGTTGTCCACTGAAATACTGATGCTGATGTCACAAGTAGGAATTATTCATTCCAGGCAGGTATCCAAGCCCAAA